GGATTCTACTGTAGTGGGAGATCCAGTTGGTTTAGGAAAGAAATCCTAATCCAAAGAGAATAAATATTTAATTGGCCATAATAGTGGATATTTATTTATGGCATTAATTATTTATTTGTTTATTTATGCATAGAAATAATTGTTGCCTTGTGTGCATAGGGTTATTTAGAATTGCATGAATATATTAAAATTCCTCATTTAAATACTAAGTTGAGAAGGATATTTAAAGTTAAGAAAATTTTAAATTCATAAGGCCTCCATTTCTAATTCGTTGGTAAATCAATTAATTGATAGTGTGGGCTTCCCCGAGGATGACATTACTTGAAATTAATTGAAGGATAATTATCAGAACGAATTTCTAAATTTAGACGGTTAGAGGAAATCGAATGAGAGCGTACGGGTCACCCCTAGGTGAACGTATAATTGATTTTGACGACCTTAGGACCGAGAAATGGGATTCACTTAGAATGCGATTCATTTCATAACCCCCAGAGGGGTCCCTGATTTTTATTGCATGGCCAAAAGGTGACCGACTATTAATTTCGTTCGTCATGAAATTGGTTTTGACTAATGGAAATTAATGGGTTCTGAAAAACCCTTCTTTAAAGAAACGAAGAATTAGTAGAGTTGCCCGAGCATCATACTAAATTCTCAAGGTTTAAGGATGTCGGTGAATTTAAGTTAGTATTGTTTTGAGGATGTCAATATTAACAGTTAAATTCAAAATGTTTAATCAGTAAAATATTTCCGTAATTCTCAGATTTATTCATCATGTCGTTCAATCCGTTGTCTGTTATCCTAAAAGAAAATCAACTCACCGGTCCTAATTACATTGATTGGAAAAGGAACTTAGACATAGTGCTGACTGCTGAAAGCTATAAGTATGTGCTGACTGAGGCTTGTCCTGATGTGTCGGCTAATGATGCCCAGATGAGGAGAAACAGGAGTATGCTCGGTGGAAGAAGGTTGATGAGATGGCGAAGTGTTACATTTTGGCTTCTATGTCAAATGTCCTTCAACATCAGCATCAGTCAATGGCCACTGCTGCAGATATGCTTCTGAACCTCAAGGAACTGTTTGGGCATTAGTCGAGGGCTGCAAGACAAGAGGCTTTAAGTGCTCTGATGAACACGCGCATGGCAGAGGGTACACCCGTAAGGGAGCATGCTCTCAAGGTCATGGCGCAGCTGAATGAGCTAGAGGTTCTTGGAGGTTTTATTGACGGGGAAACCGAGGTTGATATCATGCTCCAATCTCTGCCGAAGAGTTTTGATCAGTTCCGGTTGAACTATAACATGCACAAGATGCATATGGCTCTTCCGAAATCAGTTGTGATGGTTGCCGAGCAAGCCGGACCTTCCAGGCCTCACAAGGGAAGGAAGAGGAAGAAGGCTGCAGGAAAGGCAAAGGCACAGAGCACCCAGTTAGTGCCTCAACAGGCTGTGGCAAAGAAGCCGAAAGGTAGATGCCACAAATGCAATAAGTCAGGGCACTGGAAGGTCGATTGTCCTCTCCTCAAGAAGGGCAAAGAAGGTAACTCTCATACTTTCATCGTAGAAACATGTTTAGCGATTGTATCTACCAGTACCTGGTGTGTAGATACTGGAGCCACTGATCATGTCTGCAATTCTTTGCAGGGGTTCCAGGAAACCAAACGGCTTAGGGATGGAGAGATTACAGTCTACATCGGCAATGCTACGAAAGTAGCAGCAGTTGCAGTGGGAGTAGTTACTTTAGTATTTGATGCTAGTATTTTGGTTCCGAACAATTGTCTTTTTGTTCAAAGTTTTAGGAAGAATTTAATTTAGTTTCTAAAAACTCGTTTTGAATTGTTATTCAGTTTTGTTTAATGACTCAGTTGTTATTCGTTATGGTAATCATTTGATTTGTTCTGGTTCAATGGTTGGCAATCTATATGTTCTAAAACCAAAATCTCCCACACTGCAACAAAATGAATCGAATAATGTCTCGACTAAAACTAATAAGAGAAGAGAGTCTTCGATGAATCATGCATATCTTTGGCACGTTAGGCTTGGGCACATCAACCTTAGGAGGATTCAAAGGTTGGTATCTACTGGGCATCTTGATCCAGTAAAAGATCATTACAAGACTTGCGAGTCCTGCCTAGAAGGTAAGATGACCAAGAGGCCGTTTTCGGCAAAGGGGCGAAGGAGCCAAGAAGTGCTAGGATTCATTCTGATTTGTGTGGTCATATGTCGATCCAAGCTAGAGGAGGCTATGAGTATTTCGTCACTTTTATTGATGATTATTCTAGATATGGATACATTTACTTGTTGCACCGCAAGTCCGAATGCTTTGAGAAATTCAAGGAGTATAGGAAAGTTGTGGAGAAACAACAAGGTAAAAGTATCAAGTGTCTTCGATCTGATCGAGGAGGTGAATACCTCTTTGGAGAGTTTAGGACACACCTGTCAGAAGCAGAGATTGAATCCCAGTTGACTGCACCCGGTACACCCCAGCAGAACGGGGTTGCAGAGCAAAGAAACAGAACTCTTATGGAAATGGTTAGGTCGATGATGAGTTATTCGAAGTTACCAGATTCGTTTTGGGGATTTGCATTA